TCTTATCCTAGATGACTCTTTATATGGTCAGATGGGGTACAAGGCATAAGTACAAGGAGACAGATCTTGCAAAAGTCAACACCAGAGGTTCTCAGACTCTCTGGTCCCAGGACCCTTTCACATGCTTAAAAATTGATGACCTAAAGCAACTTTTGATTATGTTGGTTACAGCTATCAATATTTATGAACTAATAGTTAAACTGGGAAAATTCTAAAACAAAAGAATATACAAACACACATGCCATATTCCATCAGAGCGATGATGTGATCACAGTTCACATGCCTTCTGGAAAACTCCACGGTACACTTGTAAAAGTACGAGAGTAAAAGGCAAATATCATCACAGCATTGTTACAAAAATGTTTTCTTTTTACGCACTCTCTGAAAGGGTCTCAGGGACCCACACATTTCCCCTGAACTCTCTCACTTTGAGAGGAGAGAACTACCTGCTCTACAAAATAACAGACCCACAAGTTTTCCCAGAAAGAAATATCCAACTTGGGGATTTAATTTTCCATCTCAGAAATAATTTTCACAGTAAACAGAATTACCACCAACATCATTCCATTTAGATTCTTGAATAATATGGACCAAATGTTAACGTCTTCTAATATGTATATGTAATCACTCTTATGAAGAAATTCATTAATATTAAACTAAATTCTTGTTTTAACTTCCAATAAGACATAAGCAAGACATAAGTTATTAAGATCTATAGAATCTGTTATGATCAAATATAAGAAGAACTCTCCCTCTTCACCCGCTCCCTAAAACAAATGGAGAATTCCAATTAATTCTGAGTACGATGACTAATTTATTTATGTATTTGTCAGTACATGAGTAAACTTCACAATTCTAAGAAAAATGTCATACCTGGTTACTTATGCAGTAGTAGAATTAATTTTAGTGGGCCACAACAACACTCAGACAGAATGACATTTAAAGGTTTTGGGGGATATATGCACATCTTAGGACTCATAAATGCTATCCAGAGGCATGCTCACATTACTTTCTCACACTGGCCAATAAACAACAATATCAAAATCACAATGAATGAAAAATAGGGATTTTTCTCCCCACTGATCAACAACAACACACACACACACCCCACACACACAAATGGAGATAACAAAGGGAAAATGTCAGGAGGACCTTACTTAATTTGAATGTTTTAATTTATATTTTATTATAAAATAAAGTATCTATAAAGAAATTCATTTGCATAAAAGACAAGACATTAATGCAATAATAGTCTATGTGTAAATATGTCCTTGAAGGCAAACAAAGGCTAAACTACAATATAGCCTCTGTTTTTAGGGTTTCTCCCTATGTGAACAAATCCATATTTGAATGTAATGCAAATCTCAGAAATCTAAGGGAAAATAGTCATTTGCAAAACTTAAGGAAAGATCACCTCCCTCTAATTCCAACTGCTCTAGCCATCCACACCATGCTAAATTTAGGCTGCATTTCTCAAAATTGCTCTTTGTTCTTAAATACAAAAATCAATCAGTTTTCCTTGCTGATTTCTGGGCAAAAATGCCCCACTTGTAACAGTAACTGTCACTCCTAGTTGGCAAACCCTTTCAGAGAGTTTCAACCCGTGGTTAAAGTGGTCCAAATGAAATCTAACAAACAATTGAGTTTAGCATTATATTATTTGACTAACTTCAATCCTTTTGCTTTTATAACATTTTTAAATCTCCTGTCTAGGATTTCCTAGGCTATAGCTCACCAAAGAATCAAAGGTAAATCAAGACCATAAAAAATTTGTCTTTCTTAATTACTAGAAACAATGCCAGCCACGGTAGCTGGAGCCAGTACGTCTCATACTTGCTATTATTCCCCGTAGAAAGGAATATTTAAATCTCTAAACTGTAAGAAGATCATTAAGAAAACCTTCCATTCATATTTTTGAGGAGAGCTCTCAATCTGAAGGATAATCACACCAAGCCACTTAAAATGAGCCATCAAAAGCATTTACCCATCAGGCAAATCACATGCTGGTTTATCACTCTTCAGGCCAGGGATGCCCGATTCAGCCTAACAGTTCTAAGAAATATTTGAATATTTCACATAAACCTTTATACTAATCACTCCTCCCATCCCGACTGTATAGAAACAGTCCAGATAACCATATACACCAATGGAGCAGGTTATTGAATATTTAGAGATACAGAAGTGCTATGGAATGGCATTCAAGCACTCTGACACATTCACCTTCAGCTAAAGACAGCACAATACACTGACAGACACAGTTCTAATGACATCAGGACCTGTGGAATGTATGACTGCTAGGAAACACATGCTGCTAGGAAACAAAGAACAGATCTGATCAAATCTTCTAATGTAAGGACTGGGAATCATTGTGATTCGATCTTCTAAAATGAGGACAAGTGTTCTTTAATCTTCGGAAATATTTACAAGTATAAAGACCGTAACATATATCCTCTAGAAATGAAACAAATATATGAAGCTAGATTCTCATACATTAAATCACAGTTCTCTAAGTTTTCTATTAAGATGACAGCCACTAGCAATAGTGCATAAAAACATAACTTAATCAAAGTCAGGTATCAATGATTCTGTATTCCTTTTTTTTTTCAGCCTAAGCTTTTTCAAGAAGTCAAGATCTTTAAAAAAAATAAATAAATAAGGAATCTAGAAATTATAGTACCTAGAAAATAAGTACCATTTTACATTTACAGTGCTATACTTTTAAAAACAAAACAGAACATAGTCATTTGCACCAAAATCCAAAGCAGTCAAAGCTAATCTACAACTAAGGAATTTAATAGCTTTTAATTATTGAAACTGAAAAGCAGTTTAGCTTTTTAACTTTTTAAAAACTGTTTATCTTTGTATATTTTTTAACCCTTGCTTTGATTACAAAAAAAAAAAAAGTGAAACAAAGCTGAGAGATATTTCAACACAAATATCCTTTTAGCTCCTACACAAATTATTTGAAAACCTCTTGATGCTGCTGTAAAAGAACTGACAATTCTATCTGTAATCCACAAACAAACTGGGCGCCAGAACTCCAGGTCATTTAGTACCATTACAGACTGAAAAACGTATCAGGGAAATCTGGCTAAATTCTGTTTAATCTCATAGGGAAATGAAGAACATTCTTCAAGTAAAAAATTACTAAAGAGGTGTTTCTTTGTAGATTCCACGATGACATTCTTTAGTGCCGATAGCTCATATGACAGTAAATTAGCAAACCGCCTATTTACTTCAGAGCAAAACACAGAAGGCAGTTTTTCCTTCCTGCCAGCGTCTATGCGTCTCTTCATTTCCCCAGCAGCTGGCTGGAAGGATGTAAAATCAGAGGTGCAAGAAGGCTTACACTTCCTAGTGAGTAATCCACCCAGGAAAGTAAACAGGACAGACACCACCAGGTTGGGCTTTAAAGGAGAGTGCGGCAGGACTGCTTACACCGTTGTTTACAAAGTGCTCCAACTACCGCAGGCAGGGATCACACACAGGCACAGGGAGGAGACACCCAGAGGTGGCTCACACACCTAGAGTTCGCCCAATTGCTGTGATGTCTCTGGCCATAAAGCAGTGCACGTTTCTATCAGAGTGAGGGAAGTGACCGGAGAATTCCAGAGACCAGGGGTTATTCTGGCTTGACTCGGTTATTTCAATCTGCTCGAGAGATGACTGTTCTACCCCCTGGTCCTCATCAGGGCCAATCTGGGGTGCGTCGAGCGCTGCACCAGAGACACGCGCCGCACGCATCTCGCGGAAATGCTCCTCACTGGGGAGAGGGGACACTGTGAGGCTTCCTCGCAACCCCTACGGGGCCCCGCGGCCTCCTCAAACCAGATTTTCTAGTTAAGCGGATCCCAGGCGATTTCGATAAGAAAGCTCAGCTCAAGTAGCATCAGCTCTACCATCCCCACAAATACCTCCCGGCCATCCCCCGGAGCGCGCAGGAACGCGCACACACTGTCACGCACACGCTGACAACACAGCCAACTAGCCCTGGTAGCAGAGGTCGCCCCCACCCCTACCTATACACCCACCCCCCTATAGCTGGGGGCCTGGCACGCTTAGCCCCTGAGCTCCGACAGGGGACCAGTGGCGGGGGCGCGGTGGCACCAACGCTCCGCTGCAGCCGGAGCGTCCCCTTCTCCCGTTGGAAGCTCGCGGGCGCCTGCCTCCTACCTGTAACCCAATCGACCGCGGACACCAATGCTCTTCCTACCCCGCCCTGGCATCCCGGCTGCCCGGATTCGTGCAACACCGTCCCCCGCCCCGTGCCCACTCCCAACACCGCGCCGCCCCGGGCCACCCACGAAAGTAACAGCTTCCTCCAACCAAAACCGCCTAACAAAGCCTGGGCAAGCAGCTCTTAACCAAACTGCCGTGAAGGGGACACAACGGGCGGGGTGCGAAGAGGCAGCACGGCTATACGACTCAGGGGCGCGACCTGGGCAAATGCGGCCCCTATGGATGCTCCAGACAGGCGTCTAGGAAGGATCGCAGTGAGCTCGCCGCCCCTCAGTCCCCATCACCCCAGAGTCCAGCTCTCACCCGGTCCCTGTCGGTTATCCAGCCCTCTCCCGCCTCCAGCGGCACCAGGTCGGGCCGATGGAGAGAAGGCGCCCCCTGGTCTGTTTTCAGCCCCCGCCAAGGGATGACACTGGGGTGAGAGAGGAGAGAAAATTCCCGGGGTGGAAATTCCAGTTCCGATTCCCAGCGTGTTGAGCTGTGAATGTGCCGGGTCTGCTCTCCCCTTCATCCCTCTCGGCCGCCAAATCGCCCAGTTGCTGGAAAAACCTCAACCCGTGCCAAACCCCAGTGCCCACCAGCCAGGAGGCTCCCTTCCCACCCCGCATCACGATCGGATGAGTGTGTGTGCGGGCGTGTATGTGAGTGGGTGGGTGAGTGTGCGTGAATCCCGCACCCCCTCGGTTGCCCGCCCCGCGGACGCCACCGCCTGCGCTGGGCCAGGGCCACCACTATTAGGAAGAGTGAGAAGAATAAATTACCTTTCGTAACCGCCGGTCCCTGAGATCGTCCCATCAGTTTGCTCAACAACCTGCAGCCGGGTGCAGTTTCCACAATCCAGCCATGGAGCCCGGGGCAGAAGACCGGCCGGCCCCAGAGAAGACACCCCACCACACGCGGCAAAGAATGACACCAAAGCGCAGAGAAGGCAGCAGGAGGGTGGAGACCCCGGCCAAAGAAACAACAACAAAAAGTCTCTCCTTCCCCCTTTCTTCTACTACACAGCCTTGGAGAAAGGTCGGGGGGGGGGGGGGGGAAGAACCAAATGTTTGTCTTCCTTTACGTGTTCTTGCTTCAAACACACCAGGGGGTAAAAACGGAGCAAAGAGAGAGGAGGGTTCAAATGTCTCTCCCAGTCCACAGTTGCACAACTTCGGAGTCGGGCTCAGTCTCCAGCAGCAGCCGAGACCCAAGCGGCAGCTAGTAACAGGCGGCAGTCATAGCTGAGGCTGCTTCTCCTGCTCCTGCTGCGGCCGCCGCTGCTGCTGCCGCCGCTTAAGGAAAGACGCTGCTGAAGAGACCAAAAATCTTCCACCATCCCCCCAGCCGATCTTTATATCCAGTTCTCCCACCCCACCCCCTTCGCCTTCTTTCTCTTCTTCTTCCTCGTCCTCCCCTTTCCGCTTGGGGAAGGGCGCAATGGAATAGGTAGGGGGAGCCGCGAGAGCCCGGGGTGGCTTCTTCTCCGCCAAACCCGCCTCCTTCTCCTGAGGTTTTCCCCCGCGGAGGGTCTCCTCTCGCGCCCGCAACCTGCGCCGAGAGCCGGAGCGAGGGCCACGCAAACTCCTTCCCGGGTGCACGGTGGGGGCGCGCGGGCGGAGCGGGCGCCCGGCCGCTGAGGGCTGCGTCCCGGGGGTCGCGGAGCCCGGAGCCCGCGGGGTGGCCGATTAGCTCGCCGGCCGGGCCGGGCAGCTGAGGGCATGTGGGAGCTTCATCGCGCGGCCCCGAGCTCCGCGCCGCCGCCGCCGCCTCTTCGGTTCTTTCTCTTCTTCGACTCTCCGAGAGCGAGCAAGGCTCCGGCGCTCTCCACACACGCACACTCACACACGCGCACACACGAGCAAGCTCCTGCCAAAGCAAACCGTGCAATCCGCGCGCGCGCACACACCCGGAGAAAGAGGACGGAGGCAAAAAGAGAAGAAAGAAAGGGGAGGGGGCGAGTCACAGGCGGCAGCAGCAGCGGCTGTCGGAGCGGAGGCAACGAGCAGTCCGGGAAAAACCAGCAGCGGCAGCGGCGGCGCCCACCCGGACCAGCGGCAGCATCTGCATCCCCGCTCTTGGGAACTGGGGCGAGCGGTGCCGGGCGACCGGGCGACCCGGCGACGCGCCGAGAGCCGGTCGGAGCGCGGGCGCGCGGGGGCCGTGCAGCCTGCGCGCGGAGGACGCAGCCGGGGCCCGAGCCGAGGCCAGAATGAGCCGCGGGCTGGCGAGCGCCACGAGCGCCGAGAGCCGGGGAGGGGGCTCGCGCGGGGGGGATGAGGGTGGCACGTAAAACCCGGATCTGGAGTGCACTCGGGCTCCGCCGCGCGGACTCCACCTAGCTGCTCGGCAAACGCTTGGAGGTGGGAATGAGAGGGCTGCTACAGGAGGCTTCCCTTTCAGGGTTTGTCAAACAAAGGGTACCTCTCCTCCCGGCTTTGAGGCACGATTCTCCTTCAGTCTTGCAGTGTCTCCCTCTCTCTCTCTCTTTCTTCGTCTCTCTCTGTCTCTCTTCCCTCTCCTCCCTTCCTCTCTCCCTCTCTCCCTTCTTCTTTTCCTCCACTCCACCCAGGTAAGTAAACGTCAGACTGAAAGTCCTGCCAGTGTCTCTTTTTCTAAGTGCAGATTATTCCATATTTTCATTATGCAGGTACCGAGTCCCAGTGCGTTTTCTGCCTTTGGTCCATTCTATGTTCCTTCAAACTTACCTCAACGTGCAAGTTCATCGCAGACTTTAAAGTATCCTCTGTTATTCGGACATAGGGATTTAATGATTTTATTTCATAATCAGTAAAAATTACCATAATGGATATAGAAGGGTGCCAATTCCAAAGCAATGCCTTCTGATGGAGGGGAAAGTCTGCTCAAGTTAACTGAGTGACCTTGGTCCATTACTGAGCCCCCTTGTGCTTTCTTTGTAAATGAGAGAGAGGGTTAAGTAGGTAATTTATAAGGTCTCTTCCTGCTCTAAACTTTCATGATCTGAAAAGACTAAGGTGTTATTTTCTGTATCAGTAAATTCGAATTACAATTATGAGAGAAACTAAGATTTATTATATGCATTCAACAAGCTTATTATATCCAAATTGTATTTGGGTGTATATATTCAGTATGATCTAATGCCCTTCCAGAGCTCTTTGGGAGGCATAATCAACCCCAGTACATCTGAAGAACCTAAAACCTCATTAGAATTAACAGACCATACCCAACACAAGTGACTATCAATATCTTCATTCATTCTTCAAAGCTCAATTCTAGTCCGAATGCTCCAGAATGCTCCTTTTCTCACCAACCCCAAATAAAATAATCACTCCTTTCATTATATTCCCATAGCACTGTGATGGTAATCTACGATAACACCTATTTCATTCTGTTTTTTTCTTGTTCGTTTAAAATAAGGAGTTGCTTGTCTATAGGTCTCCTCAGATTATAGGATCTTCCTTAAATGCAAATTCCAAATTTTAATCATCTGTATAACATAAAATTATTATGTATCCACAGTACTTTGCACATTGTAATTTTTTTTTAATTTTGGAGGGGAATTTCCTGATATTTCTGAATTCTGACCAGCCAGATGTTCGTTCACACACTTAAATTAGGCAATTTGAATTTGCCTAATATAAGGCATCCACAAACTCCCCTGAGTACATAAAGAAAATGTAAACTGACATCTGAAGTCACTTGTTACTTAAATGATTTCGGAAATAGACTCTAGCTAATTGTGACAAAAGGACGCAAAATGGAAACTACCCAATTCATCTCCCAAATGGATATATGTGGAAAAGCAATAAAATAACAAAATGTGGAATGAATGACTCCGTATAGATATTAAGTGTTATTAGTGATAGCAGCAGAAATATAAATAAACAGACCAATTTTTAGAATCAGTCTTATCTTGACGGGTCTGGAAGGATATGGGAGAGGAATTCAAATTAATTTCAAAATGGAAATTAATATATCAAAATATAAAATATACTAACTGAAAACTGCATATTAATTTAAATAAGTAATTAAATATGAGACATACTAACTGAAAAGTAAGCATATTAAGTTAAATAACTAATTGAAAGTATTCGCCAAAGAATTTACCACAAAAAAAGTTACAAACAGAAAAATAAGAAGAACCAAAAAAGGAAAAGAAGTGCGTAAAAAATAACTCTTGGCTATTTAAGAAAAGGAGGTAAAGGAAAAGAATAAGTTAATTATTTACACAATTTAATCAAATGTCAATATAATAGCTTTTACAGCAGCAACCTGTATTTTGGACTCAAACTTCATGCATCCAAATCCTTTTAAATCTGATAGGCATAGTCTTTTATATTTAAGATATAAAGCATCCTATTCTATTGCCAGGAAATCCATTACTCTTGCCAATATTTTTCTAAGGTGAACCTTCTAGAAAAATAAAATCAAGTAAATTCTGTTCCTTTTTTGCTATACAACTATATTTAACACCTTCTCAAGGACAAGATAGCATCACAGATGATGTTTGAGCAATGATGCTATTATACAGGGTAGAGCTGTGTGCAAGAGTTGGTTTTTGAAAATGATGGCATGGTTGGCTTTAGCTCTATTAAATTTGAAAAAAAAATCAGTATTTACCATGTGGAAAAGAAACCCCCAAATTTAAGCTGAATATCCAATCAAATAGGATAATTAATATGAAAATATTTTAATAACTAGTAAAATTCTCTGACCAAATGACTCTTTCAAATTAATAAATACACTATGATGTCCAACAGTGTGAAAGTTAGGAAAAGAACATGGATAAAATGTTCACAGAATAGGTAAATACAAATAAATAACCAATAAATGTAAGGAAGGATGCTCTGCCTTTACCCCCACACACACACAAAAAAATCCCATGCATAAAAATACACACAATTACAAGATCTATCATGTTTCATGTTTTGCCCAGGAAATTAGCTGAAAAGTAACAGTGCCCTAATACTAAACTCTAAAAAAAAATACGTTGAGCAGGCTTACTCTTATGCTAATAACAGACATTGACATATTTTTCTGGAAAGTTGAAGATATGTGTCAACTGACTTATAAAATATGTATGTCATTAATCCAGTCTTTCTGCTTACAGATACCACTTCTACAGAAATAAACAGAAGTATGGACAAGGATTTTATACAATGATATACATCTCAGTCATAATTGTTATGTAAGGGGAGAGAGTATGTAAGGTATGTATATATTCATAGGGATCTTGTTTCTTCATGCTCAGTAAAAGACCCCTTATCTGATTGGATTGGTAGTTATTTAGTTGGTGGGAAAAAATGTTGGTTAAAGCAAAAAATATTTTTGAAAATGATCCATATATTCTATTTTAGTGAGGATTCATTTTTGCTGCAAGCAACAGAAACACAAAATAACAGCAACCTAAACAAGATAGAAGTTTATTACTTTTTCTAGTGAAAAGTTTAGCATTTGGTGATCCAGGGCTGTTATGGCCCCACAAAGCACCTTGGGTGTAAAAGACACCTTTATCTTCTTGCTTGGCCACCTATGACCTTTGTTCCCAATTTCAATTTTAGCAATCATGCTACATTACAGAAGTGAAGAAGAAAAGGAGGAAGGTAAAGACATTCTCACACCCAAGGACATTTTCCTAAAGTTGCACACACCATTCTCCTTTCACTTCATCCTCAAAAATGGTGAGATGGTAACACTTAGCTACAAGGCTAGTGGGAAACATTGACTATTCCAGGCAATCCTGTGTCCAACTGAAAATCAGATTCTTTCATTATTTAGCGTTTCCTCAGCCTATAACTTAACATTGTGCACCACCTTGAACTGAGCTTTGCATACATTAGGTTTTCAGTAACCAAATGAAGGGCTAATGCAGACACTAGACACAATGTCACCTTCACATGAAATGACCTTTCAGTTCAACCAGAGGTAAACTTTCACAAAATTCCAAATTAATGAGCTTTTGCCATCCAAAAAAAAAAAAAAATACTCTCTAATACCTGATCAAATATCAGTGGACAGTTAATATCTTAAATGCTACTGGGCCTAGATACACTGACAGATCAAGGTAATCAGAGTTAAATTACATCTGCAAAGCAGGTAGCAAATCATAGTACTCAGATTCCTAGTATGCCATGGCATGATTAGAATTCTAAGGGGTCTTGTGTTCACTAGAATAATGATTCAAATTTAAATTATATATTGGGGCACCTGGGTGGCTCAGTCGGTTAAGCGTCTGCCTTCAGCTCAGGTCATGATCCCAGGGTCCTGGGATCGAGCCTCACAGGGGACTCCCTGCTCCACGGGAAGCCTGCTTCTCCCTCTCCCACTCCCCCTGCTTGTGTTCCCTCTCTCACTGTGTGTGTCTCTCTGTCAAATAAATAAATAAAATCTTTTAAAAAAATTATATAGACCATCAACATATTTGATTGCCCTAGCTTAATTCTAAGAAGAGCCTGGTGATGCTCTCCGTTCCCTGGAATACACATCAAGGGCCCATTTTAGAAGATTGTAAAATCTTACCCAGATTATATTGCCCTGCTAATTTGGTATCATCTATTCTTTCCTGCCTCAAGCAGTTCACCCTTCTTCTTTTTCAATCCAAAAGACAATCTGTGTATTTTCTACATTCTAAATGACCTGGAAGCTTATCTATAGATAGAGATAAGGTAAATCTAGATCTAGATATTTTTTAAAACAGCTTTTCCTAATTAAGTGGTTAACTTTTTCCACATCCTGACTTTTTTTTTCCCCCAATGGAAGAGACTCCTTAAAACTCTGAGTCATAATTTCTCTAATGCTTACATACATGCATGTCAATTCTGGAAGACTCTGAAAGGAACAAGCTTCTCCTTCTTCTTCTTCTTTTTATTTATTTATTTTTTGTAACTTTCTCCACTACCTTGCCTTAGACCCAACAATTAAATTACCTTTCATAACTGCAAATTAGGT